AGCCTTTCGCCAAATTTGACAGTTTGATGCAAATTTATGAAACAAGTATTCAATCCGATGTCTACTATTAGGAACTGCATTTTAACTACTTAATCATGGCCTGCTAAGGTCTCTTAAGGGTAGTATGGTAGAATTTCCTAACATATTAAAAGTTTTTAGATTCAACACCTTAGTTTATATTCTCTAGCTATTTCATGAATAAAACAGCTGTATGTATATTCATTCTGAAGTTAAACTTGCTCATTGGATGTTCTTTTTTTTCTTAATCGTTTTTCTATTTGATGTTGTCTTGCAGGTATTCATGCTTTTATAATCACGTATGCTCTCTGTGGATATCATTTGGTGTCTATGTTACCGGAGTTCTCTTCCAAACAGTAACTTTTGTTTCATTCCTGCTCATTTCTTATGGATACTGTATAACGTGTGAGCGTCTTTCAATACAAGAGCGCCGCATGACAGCTGCTCTCGGATCTATTTTCTACTTGACTCTTGTCGGCTACAGAGCTTCTGTACCCTATTTCTCTGTGAGTTCACTAGGTTGTTACCACTTGAAAGAGTGTGCAGCATCGCCTACTGCATTATTGTTTTTTTTTTCATTTCATTATTGTTCACACCTGATATTAATGTTCTATAACTGTGTATAATACAGGTACTTCTCACACTTAGCTATTTCATTTCATTTTATGTAATATTCAACCACATATCACAGAACTTAGTAGTTCTGCAAGAACAATTGACCTTTATAGAAGATGAGGAAATCCCTGCAATGCATGAAGCAATCTACACAAAGTACATAATGCTCAAGTATGCAACATTCGCTAAGTTTCATATGGTACCCTACATTGCTGGATTCAGTGTTTCATGAATTATTGAGCTTTAATTTTCTATCTGTGTGATTGTACAGAAAATTTCAAAATGCAATGTTTATGATGGCAGTGGCAGAACTGGCGGTATGGACACCCACCTTTAATGTTCTAGTAGTCATTTTCTACTCTAAAAACTTGTGATAATCAGGTATCTTAATTGCCAGATTCTGATAAATGTGGACAATTCAATACATAACTACTGGCTCCGATTGTTGGTTCGAGAATGGGCACAGTTCTCTATACTCTCTTACATTGGGTAAGTGAAAAATTGAGCCAATTTCTGGTTATTTTAGTAGGAAGGCTTCCTTCTCAACTTGTATCCTGAGAGAATACATTAAATTTTTGTATATCTCAGGTGGACCTTCAGATCAAAAGACTTGGCACCACGCTTTTCTGTTATGCCTGTAATAAAGTCTATTGGAGAGAGAATGGTGCCTCCCATCTATAGCATTGTAAGTCTCCCTTGATACCAGATTCTAATTGCCTTCTTGGAGTTGACTCATCTTGATGAATGTTGTCTATCTTTTGTCTGAGGTTTGATATTAGCAAGGAAAACGGAAATGGAATGAGAAGATCATGATCTCCTTGTTTGATGGAGATACCAAATATTAACAAGAGCATAAATGAGAAAATTGATCAGTACATAATGATTTCTCAGTGCTCCTTTCTCTTTCCTGATTCCTCGCCCCTTCTCCCACATATTTGCAAGACCTTTGCCATATCCTTATCTCGAACATACCCCTGCCGACTACCGCCAGCAAGGAGTAACTGCATATAGAATAAATGACTGTTGCCTTAGTTCCTCTTTCCATTTTCAGTGCAAATTTTTATTTGGAATGTCTCGTGTGCAGCCTTCTTTTTGTAGTTTCCATAGCTTGTGTTTTGCTATTTAACTTTATGTAACTCGGGACATGAGTTAATGAGACTTCAACATAGACATATGGCTTGTCTAGTAGCTGGATTAAGGTGTATATCTCATAGTATCTACTTACACACATACAGCTGTATGATTCCCCAAATCTCTGATCTTTAGTTGTGTTACTGCAGGAAATGGATGCAACTACTTTTAGAGACTTTAGTAGTCATGGATGGCACATAGGGGTGGTGAGTATTCATTTGCCTATAGGCTAGAATTGTTCTCAAGTTTCCCCTACCCCACATCAGGCTCCAGAACTTCTTTGTAATAATGTTATTAATTGACTCCCAATTAGAACTTGATTCGAGTTTCTTCAGTGTCAACAAGCCAATTTCCTTCATATATATTTCTTGGCAGAATAGTTCTTGATATTTGTCATTATTTTGGTTCAGCTGGTTATATTTGATATCCGTATTCTGTACTAAATCAAATTCTATCTTGCAGCCAACTTCATCCAAGAAAGGAAGCTTAAAAAGTTCAGTTTTAGTGGTAGTTCAGCACCCCCATATGTGTAGGTTGACACCACTTGACACTCATTCTCATAGAGTAGCTTAGCTACTTATGCTGCAGATGTATATTATTCAATTGTTGCCAATCGGAACAGAAGCAAGCTTTCGGATGTGGCAGATCAACATCCATCAACTATAGGAGCAGTATTACGACCAGTATTTTCTGTAAATCCTTGTACACATTTCTTCTGAGGAAACCTCAGAAGTTTTCGGCTGTAAACTGTGCATTGTTCCCTGGGTATTGCCTGCTTCAGGTATATCCATTTTTGGTGGTAGAAAGCTTTTGCTTTGCTGCAAAGTGCAAACACACTGTTCCTCTAGTTTGCAGCTTTATACTTAGTTCCTTATTTTCGTTACTGCTATTATAGTTTCTGTGAAAAGAAAGGAACATTGACTGATTCAAGTAATGAATATTCCTCAAGTATCTGGACCGTGAAGTGCAGGGATGTATTTCCAATAATTAGAACATCAAGCAAGAGTTTGCAATGCGACCTTGCAAACCTCTATATGCAAGACAGCAAGAGCATTTCTTGTTTTCATGAAACTGATTACAAATTCCTGGATGCAATGCTAAGGACTACAATGGAGAATGATGTCAAATTTGATTGCAATTTTTCCATTAGGCATTTGTGCTGTCATTTACCCGTGTGTTTGTTTCTAGGAAATATTGATAAACGTTCTGGAATTTGGGAAGACACTAAAGAGAGAATTTAGTGTTCCGTTTCTTTTTGGGTGAGGGAAGCTGGCCGGTAGGGAGAATTTGCAGGGAAAGGCGGTGAAAATCAAACTTAAGTTTTAGCAAAATGAGCTTGACAACATTTCAACTCTTTAAGTTTTTTAGCTCATTTTAAGGACTTCTAAGTTCAGTCCCAGTCAGCATATCGATCACAAAGGTTAGGCCAAAGCCCCCTTGAGGCCAAATAAAAGATTAGTATCTTGAATTAAGGATTACAAGAAAAAAGAATCAAATAAAAAGTTAAAAATATAAACAAGTTTTTCTTACCATTTATATACAATCCATTACTAGTGCCTTAAATTAGGGGATTTAGTTACACCATTTTACTTTTTTTTTTCCTCCTCCCCTCAATTTCCCTATTCTCTACTACCTCTCTCCACCCAAAATTTCCGTAATTGAGAGCCAAAATTCATGGGCAGTGACGCCACGCTTCATATGAAGTTAATTCCGAACAGATTGTGCTATCCTCCATGTCCTTTTTCAAAACTTCTGTAAATATTCCCAACTTTTGAAAAGTTAATTCCGGTTTCACCAAGCTCTGTTTCACTTTGCATAAGATCGTGACATATTACTTATTCATAATTAGCGTCTCTTTGGACTCATAAATCTGCCAAGGATTCATTATTTTCATTCAACAAATCTTTTTCGTTTGTTTGTTTCTTATATATGTTCAGCTAATCATAAAAGGTACAATTCTTCTAAGAATGGGAAGGACCCAACAATAGCCATGTACCTAACCTGGATTACCGTGGTGAATATCGCAAACAGGACATATATATATATATATATATATCAATAATCTCGAGATTAGTTGGAGTTGAAGTGTAAGTAGAACAGAGAGATGATAAATTTGTACGGTACAACAATATACAAATTAAAAAATAAATTTCGNCTTATTTATAACTTATCTACAACTTTCATACATACTAAAAATAAATTTCATACAACTAATTATACATTATACACTTATTTACAACTAATCTACAACTTATCTGCCACTTTCATACATTATTTTTACCGGTTAAAATACATCTACAACATCATACAACTTAAATATAATTTTCATATAAATTTTATATAATATGTCTTTTTATATATTTTGTATCTGATTTGTATATATTTTGTATATGGTGTGTGCTTCTTCCTCTCTAAAATTCCAACCAAAACTTTCTTTCTTAATACAATTTTGATACATATCAATAACTTTATGTAAAAAGACAGTATCGATAACTTAAATACAAATTTTATACAACGATTCATACATTATACAACTATTTTTCAACTTTCATACAACATTCAAATAAAAAAAAATATAACTACAAGATAATACAATTTACATATAATTATAATACAACTTTACTACAATTGCGTAAGTATATTGTATGTCATGTGTTCTTCTTCTTCTTCTTCGAGTTTCTATCTGAAATTCAGCCAAAATCAAGTCTAATCTTCACCAAACACCCTCAAATTGAGATATAAACTCCAAAAAATATTCCCAATTATTTGCAACAGCACTCAATCTAAATAAATGGTGGTTTTTAAAAATCCAAATTCGAATTCAAAGCTTCAAAGCTTTTTAATGGTTGTCAATAATGGAGAGTTAAACACCTTCAAAATTTATTGATTGACAATTTCAATTTGAACAACAATTGTGCAACATGAATGAGAAAATTTCTAAGTTTTTGATTGACAATTTCAACTTGAACATCAATTGTGCAACATGAATGAGAGATAGAGAGAGGCGAAGAGAGAAAGAGAGAGAGCGTAGGAGAGAGAGAACATGGATGGAAAATAATCGATTCCTTATTCAATTCCTAATATAAAGGGATACACATTTAAAACTAATTTGTATATAATTGGTAAATTATATATGGCCATGTAATTAAGTTAAAACTTAACTAGGAAGGGTAATGAAGTTTTATATGTAGTGAAACCAACTTGTCACGACCCAAAAATCTCACATGTCGTGATGGTGCCTATCTCAATACTAGGCAAGCCGAAAATCCCAATAAATCGCCATGACATCATACGAACTTAGTCGAGCCTTCGAATCACTCAAAACAACATCAAAACACCAAATTACCCTCGGATTCAAGCCTAAGAACTTCTAAATTTTCAAATTCCACCAACGATGCCGAAACCTACCAAACCACTTCTGAATGACTTCAAATTTTACACACACGTCACAAATGACACCACGAACCTACTCCAATTTTCGAAAATCCATTCCGACTTCGATATCAAATTTTTCACTGCCGACCAAAAATCGTCAAAATTTTAACTTTCGCCAATTCAAGCCTAATTCTACTACGGACCTCCAAATCACATTCCGGACGCACTCCTAAGTCCAAAATCACCTAACGAAGCTATTGGAATTATCAGAATTCGAATGCGAGGTCGTTTAAACATAAGTCCACATCCGGTCAACTATTTCAACTTAAACTTCCAACATGAAATTCATTCTTCCAAGCTAACTCCGAAATACCTTAAAACCAAAACCGACAATTCACCCAAGTCATAATACCTCGTAGGAAGTTATTCAAGACTTCAAATAGTTAAAAGGAGCATAAATTCTCAAAACGATCGGTCGGGTCGTTACAATCTCCCCCACTTAAACATACGCTCGTCCTCGAACGTGCCAAGAGTTGTTCCTAAGCCTTTAAATCACTATTCTATCTTACCACGCACGTACCCGGGGTTGATCCCACGTCACCCTATTCTGTGTAAATTATATAGGCATGACAACACAACATAATTGAAAATTATTACTTCAATCTTAGCCCCATAAACCTTGAAATTCAATTTCCAACATTCAGAATTTTTTTTCAAGACCTGAATCTCACATTTACACGCCAATAGGAAGCTTGCTATAGGGACGGACCTTTTTTTTCTTTCGATTTCATTGATAACAGAAAAGACTTACTCTAAAGGGCAGGTAAAATCTTTGGCCGGACATACCCTGAAACTTTAGGTCAAATCCATTTTTGGATCATTTTTTTTGGGGTTAATATGACCTTCGGTTTCATAGATAAATTTATATAGAATCTTTGAAAAAGCTATTTCCACTTAGACAATTTCAGATATTCAAGGCGCCTTCCTTTACCATATGGTTGTTGAAAACAAAAGTGCTTCCAGGAAACCTCCGCTTTTCGGCCGTAATCATGTGCTTTACCAACGCATTCAATAACTTGACCGTCAAGTTTGAAAAAAGCTGGCCAAGCCTGTTGGTCCGGGTGGAGAGAAAAAAAAACGAATTGAAGTTAAAAAAAACTTTATCTTGCTAGGTGTAATCCGTTGGACATAGATCCGATTTTTTACTTTTTGGATTCCTTGGACCCGTTCCGCGCTCGCTATCCCCTTTTTGGGCATCCCCGCTTCAAATCAATCTTCTCGGTACTTGAACTTGCATCTATCGCTTTATTGTGAAAGATCAGATTGGCCTGTTCTGGCATAAGTATGTTCGAGAATCATTAAACAACTCCTTATCAATCTTGACTCCATTCAATATGAACAAAGGTCCTAAAAATTTATATGCGACATCATTGAGACCAGCCCATCTTGTTTTTTTCGGAGGAGTTGGGCCACCAATTGAAGCCCAGTAAAAAGACTTCTTTGCTCCTTTGTTTTTTGATGTCCACTCGGTAAAGCTTCTCTGCTCCGTCTGTTATCAGACTTCCGAAAGAAATCACGGTGACGACAGCAGGATACAACAATCAACGTCTCCGGAATGAGTGCAGGTGATTTTACTCTCTATGTTTACTTCTCTCATTAGATGCCCACCATTTTTATAAGAATTTGTCACGAGTATGTGATTTTTCATTGAGAAGTTATCTTCTTCTTTTTTTCATGGAGAAGATATTTTAAAGAAGCACAAAATTAGCTTTACTGTATTTTGCACTCACCTACTTAGTAAGTGATGTAACAAAATTCATGTCAAGCGGATTATGATGGCATACTTAAGTCACGAGTATGTTTGATTGAATTCTGTTTCAATTTTACTTGGGTTCTTTTTTTTAGTCTCAACTAAATTAGACAGAATGAATACTACGGTATATCTTATCTGTGTAACTTACCGGGAAAAGTTATATCAATGGGTGTGTGTGGTTCTTACTTGATTATTGATATTTAGCATTTTGAGTTTGGTCCTCAACCTATGACTGTAACAACTATTTTTAGTTTTCACCATATACGCTTGCCAATCATTTATGCGAAGGAGTTAACTTTTTATCGTTCTCCCATGTCATTAGAGTAAGGCTTGAAGCTTGCAAAGTAAATGGCTTGATTGGATTGGTTTCAGCATCATATTTTATTATTTGCCGGGTATAATATGAACCCGGCAAATATTTTATTATTGTTTTTGGAAGGTGCATATTACCTCTATGCGGTCTTGATATAATATGAACCTTCTTGGATCCAGGTTCTAAACAAAAGTTGCATATGTTGCCAAACCTATTTGATGTCTGAAGTTTTTATGATAATCAGCTTCTTATAATTAAACAGACGTAGAATCACGTGCATCAAATAAATTCTCTTTTCTCTTTTGGGCTAGTGATTAATGAAACTGGAATGTACATGGAAGACTAGGGTTCACATCATAGTAAAAGGTAAAAAAGTTAGGTGACTTATTCCCATCTATCTAAGCTTTTGGTGGACAGAGTTACCTGTTACCTGTGCTGGTGGGAAGTAGCCGGTAT